GATCAGCATCAAGTCTTTGATCCTGTTGTGTGCTTTGTACCAGTGTTCCTGCCGTTTGAGCTGCTACTTGTTATTGACCCCGGCTTCTGACTACGTTTACTCTGGCATCCTTTGACTTCGGCTACTCCTCGTTGTTCCTGTCTTCTGGCATCCTTTGACCTCGGCTATCCTTTGACGATCCTGCTGTTTGAGTCCTTGCCTGTCCTGCGACTTGGTACTTCATCCTGCACAGCCCCCGTGCACAGACCCACAGGCCGGGTGAATTCTTACCTGACCACCTTGGCCTGTGGCTATCTGCAAGGGTGAGCAACATAACTGCGCTACAGACTCCCAACCCAGGTAAGACCCTGACACTCTGTGGACTTTCGTCATGATCCTGATGCAAGTCCACAAGAGGGACTGAAACGTTGATCTTCTCTTAAATATTTAAATAAAAGTAAAATTTTAAGGAAATCCGAGAGTGCAGCCAACTATTTCAATTGCATATATATATATATATATATATATATATATATATATATATATATATTTTTTTTTTTTATTGATACATTTCTTCTTCTAATTCAAAATATTAGTTCTTTTAGGGTAATTAAATTATACAGTAAAGCATACTCACACACAGACAGACAATCTTACTGATGCACACAAATAGGCTCATTGACAGACAATGACACACACAGACAAGGTTACTGGCACACACAAATTTAGTACAGACAAACTCTGATACACACACACAAGCTTACTATAGACAAGCTCACTGTCACACACACACGCTCACTACAGACAAGCTCACTGATGCGCACACACTCTCCCTACAGACAAGCCCATTGACACACACGCTCCCTACAGAAGAGCTCACTAACACACAGATTCACTACAGACAAGCTAACTGACACACACATGCTCACTACAGACAAGCTCACTGACACACATATGGTCACTACAGACAAACTCACGATCACACTCATGCTTACTACAGACAAGCTCACTGTACACACATGCTCACCACAGACAGGCTCCGACACACCCATGCTCCTTACAGACAAGCTCACTAACCCACACACACATATGATCCCTACAGACAAGCTCACTGACACACATACAAGCTCACTCACTAGCAGGCACACACCCACACACACAAACTCACTAGCAGGCACACACACACAGGCTCCCTCACTAGCAGATGCGTGCGCACATACACACAGAGGCAGACAGTCACTGACACCCAGCCCCACACACACACACACAGGCGGACAGTCACTGACACCGAGGCAAACACCCACACATACAAAGACAGGCAGACAGCCACACACATACACAGGCAGACAGCCACACACTCACACACACACACACAGGCAGACAGTCACGCACACACACAGGCAGACAGTCACACACACTCAGTCAGACAGTTACAGACAGTCACACACTCAGTCAGACAGTTACAGGCAGTCACACATTCATACAAGCAGTCATACACTCATACAGGCAGTCACACACTCACAGAGACAGTCACACACTTACAGGCAGTCACACACTCAGACAGAGACAGTCACACACTCACACAGAGACAGTCACACACTCACACAGACACACTGACCTGCTTCTTACCTCCTGCTTGGAGCTCCTGGAGGCTGGTTGTTAGGGAAGCAGGGACTCCTTCCTGCTTCCCATGCTGCAGTCAGCCGGGCCCCGCCGCACGTAAGCTCCACCCCCACCACAATTTTTTTTTTTTTATGATCCCGGCCG